CCCATCCTACCAGACTGCTCTTTTGTGGTTTTGGGTTTGGGTTTTTGTTGGGTTTGTTTTTTTTTTGTTTTGATTCAGCCGGTCTTTCTTGTCGCCTGCCCCAGCTCAGACAGTCACCTACTCACTGCACCTGAACTTCCCAGGCAAGTATCTGCCTGCCGCACCCGCCAAGAATGCACTACACATACCAAAGCCTGGCTAGTGTTTCCATTCAATAGAGTTGGGTCGCTCCTTGTCACGCCTGAACCCAACCGCAACGATGCCCCCCTGCCTCAGCCTCCCAAATGGTAGAATTATAGCATGACACCGTACAGCCTTTTTTGTTTTTAACACAAGGTTCTTTATTTTTTCTCAAAGGATTTTCTTTTAATTTTATGCATTGTATGATTGAGACAGGAGTCTTACCTCTGTTGCCGGGGCTAGAGTTGCCAATTGTTCTGCAATTTACTAGCTTGAATGACCTTGGGCAAGTTATTCATTTTCATAGAGCATGCCTAAAATGGGGATGATACAAGCTACTTCATAGGGTTTTTATGAGCATCACATGAAATAATATATAGCATAATGGTGCTACAAAATAGTGAAAACTCAACATATATTCGTTCTGTCGAGCCTAATCTCATTTGGGTTGCAAAAAAAAAAAAAAAAAGCTTCAATGAGGATTTGGTGAATGTGTGCAAACACCTTATCCTTCCCTGCCTCCACTTTAGAACTCATTGATGTGGTTGCACGTGGCTCTAGTGTAGCTGCCCAGAGCTCAGGCTGCCCTCCACCTATTTGGGGCAAAATCCTGCTTCAAAGTATGAGTACTTTTATCTTGGGTGAAGCCATTCTTGTCTTCTTTTTCTATCTTCATTGCTTAGGCTTATGCCCCCTAATTACTAAGTGAGGCTGGAGTTTCATACTATGGGGGAAATTTGGAGATTTGGGTAGGAGAAAGAGGCATGAGAAGCTAAAAAGACGCCGGGGTTGTCTATGCTGGCTCATGCTTCATGGTCTTGAGGTTTAACAGGCTGAGGGCTGGTCTGAGTGTCGCCTGCTCACACACACTTAAAGGAAGTATACCCCGGGCCCTGCCTGCTCCTTAGGACAGAAACACACACACACACACAGAGAGAGAGAGAGAGAGAGAGAGAGAGAAACAGAAGATAATATAGATGTACAAATTTACTATAAACTTAAACTCCTAAGCCTTGTTACAGGTTCCCTGGCCGCAGACGGCTCCTTTAAGAGGCGGGCCCCATCCCGGCTAACAGAGGAAGTCCCCGCCCCCGGTTGCCAAGGTGCTCTGTGGCGTCGCATTCTCATTGGTGGGCGACGGTGGGGAGGCACCCAGAGGCGGCCATTTCCAACGAGCTGGCGGGGGCGAAAGATGGCGACGCCCCTTGGGTGGTCGCAGGGGGGGTCAGGATCTGTGTGTCTCGCCTTCGATCAACTGCGGGACGTGATTGAGTCTCAGGAGGAACTGATCCACCAGCTGAGGAATGTGGTATGCAGCCAGAAGAGCTCGGGGAGAGGCGGACTGGACGCCGCATGGCGGGGGCGGGGCCGGGGCCGGACCCTGGTCCGAAGCAGGGGGCGTGGTTAGAACGCTTTGCCAATGGCGTCATCAGGAGGAGGCAGGGCTCTGCTGAGTCCTGGCCGGGAGGGGTGGAGCCAAGGGGGGCGGGACCTTCCTGAATATTTACCAGGGAATTTTAACCAAAATCAAGCAAGATTCTCCACTCTGGTTGATTGCTTGCTGCAGGGCCTGGTAGATATTTACTGAGCCTCAGTGTCCTCATCTTTGGTGGAGATGACTTCTCTGCGTTCCCAAGGCCCTCTCGTGCAGAGAATATGGATACCCTTCCGCAGAGTGAAATGCAGTGCCACACTGAGTGCAGGACGTGCAGATTTGGCCCTTGCCCACGTTACCTTAAGGGCCTCCAACCCCTTTATGTCCTTTTGCTTTTGTCTTCGTAATCAGATCCCAGCTAATGGGTGCAAAGCATTTGAGTCACAGATTACCTGGACAGGCGTGATAGAATCCTGGCCAGATGGAGTCCCTGGTTTTTCTGTTTGCTTTTCTAATAATATCTTGATAGAAAAGTTGGGATGTATCTCCAGCTCAGAAATAAAGCTGGCTTCACATCTATTTCTCACTCTAATGGTTCTTAGACAAATTCTTCCCTTCTGGGAAGTTGGATGTGAAAGGAAGGCGAGAGAGACATGTTCTATTTGCTACCCTAATGCTGTCATTGAACAAAATGTATGCAGTGCTAGGCACTGAATTACCTTTGATTCCCTGAAGGTATCCAGATCTTTCTCTTGGCAGGTAGCCTTGGCTTTTGGGATGCTTTTCTCTCTACCTCTCTTCTTCTGGCCCATTCTATTTACCAGTCAGATCCCAGGTCTAATATCCTCTTCTCCAGAAGCAATTCTGACCCTTCCCCAGGCTGGGTCAGGACCTCCTCTGGGCACCACAGCCCCCTGTGCATCCCCATCACAGCACACACCATGTTAGAAGTGTGGCCATGGGCTGTCTCCTCTATGACACTGGTTGTTCCTTGAGGGCAGTACTTAGAACTGAGTCTCAGTTTACCTGTGGAACTGAATTCTACCAGTGCCTCAGTCTCATCCTATGTGTCCTGCGCTTCATCCTGTTATCCATTTTTGGTCCTGGTCCCTGGCAAGCACCCCTTCCACCCCAACCTCAGGCCCTCCCTGAGCCAGGCTCTGTTGCAGATGGTTCTCCAAGACGAAAATTTTGTCAGTAAAGAAGAGTTCCACGCAGTGGAGAAGAAGCTGGTGGTAAGTAATGTCCTCTGTAGGTTCCTAATCTTCCCTCATTTCCCAAGATCCCTGTGGTTAGGCAGAGTCATTGAGTATTGGAGTCCAAAAGCCTCCAGACCTAGTAGTGAGGCCAGAATCTTCCTGTACTCTGGCTTCTGTGTGCCCCTCTGAGAAAGGGGGTTGGTTAGGGGAGCAGAGGCAACCCAAGGTGGCTTGGGGTAATGAAGTGACTGCTCCTGCCCCTGTAGGAAGAAAAAGCTGCCCATGCCAAGACCAAGGCCCTCCTGGCCAAGGAGGAGGAGAAGTTACAGTTTGCCCTCGGAGAGGTAGAGGTGCTGTCTAAGCAACTGGAGAAAGAGAAGCGGGCCTTTGAAAAAGCGTGAGTGGGCCTCAGTAGAAGGTGTGGAGGTCAGGGGTCCGACGGCTGCATGCCACAATGCCCATCCTCTCATTTTATCCTCCCCACCCAGGCTCTCCAGCGTCAAGAGCAAAGTCCTACAGGAGTCTGGCAAGAAGGACCAGCTCATCACCAAGTGCAATGGTAGGCGGGAGCCCCACGCTCCCCACCATGGTTCTATACGTGGGTTCTTTCCTAACAACCCAGTGCCTGTGTCACGGGCAGGGTTTCACCCCACCTTCTGTCCCCGGATGAGGATACAGGCAGGCCCCTGCGGGCCACACCCTCGAAAAAGCCTTCAGGGACCAGGCAGGCCACGGAAATGAGGAAAATCGGTGTACAATATTCTTCACGGCCATAAAAGAACGGGCTCGCTCCCATTTTTCGTGAAACGTACGACCTTCTTAGTCCACCTTTTGTTTTCCCACTTTTGATGGGTGTTAGAAATAGTGCATCTTACTGATAACTCTGTTATAAGAGGAACAACAGCACAAGCACAGTCCTGTTTGGGAGCTGAGCTTAGTCTCAGGGTTGGGGACTTCACAGGGAGGAGTGGGGACTGTGGTGAAATGGAAAGCCATGTCCCTCAGAGGTGTAGCCTGCAAAGGGGGTCCAGGATTGCCAGATCTTTAAAAAAGAACTGGAAACCAAGTTTTTTTTGTTTTGTTTGTTTGTTTTGTTTTGTTTTTGAGACAGTTTTTTTTGGGTTTTTTTTTGTTGCCCAGGCTAGAGTGAGTGCCGTGGCGTCAGCCTAGCTCACAGCAACTCAACTCCTGGCTAAGCGACTGCCATCCAATAGCTGGGACTACAGGCATGCACCACATGCCGGCTAATTGTTTTGTATATGTATTTTAGTTGGTCAATTAATTTCTTTCTATTTTTAGTAGAGACGGTTCGCTCAGGCTGGTTTCGAACTCCCGACCTCGAGCAATCGCCCACCTCAGGCCTCCCAGAGTGCTAGGATTACAGGCATGAGCCACCGGCCCGGCTGGAAACCAAGTTTAATGGAAGCTCTTTGACTTTTTAGTGCGGCAACTGATTTAGAAATTTTAAAAGTATTGTGTGGGCCAAGTAACATATACCTGTGGCCACCAGTTTTCAGCTCTGCTCTATGCAGATCCCTGGGCCACATGTTGGCTCAGTTGGTGCCATGAATTGTGGGACACTTTCAGAATCAGCTCCCTAGTGAACCCTTTTCATTTTCCTGAATACTAAACGCTCTTTACCTAGTTTAAGAAGTAGGTATGAACTCCTGTGCAGCATCTGCTTCATTCACCACAGCAGATCAGGTAGGCCAGAGCCAAGCCAAAAGAGGTTCACAGCCCCTCCTAGTATGGCTCCACCTGGACCTTGGCACTTTCCACCCACCCGTCCAGCTTTCTCTCGCCTGGTGAGTTCTGTCTCTGGGAGGATGCCAGCAGGCCCAACAGCGCCTCATGTTTGTTTGATCACCGGCTCCCGCCCAGGGCCTGCTAGGGCCCAACAGTGCTCACGGCCTCCAACTCACGGCTGCCTGCTCCCTAGTTTTCCCTCTCCCTGGACCTTCCCTCAACCCCTAAAAGGAACCTGGGGTTCCCTCCCTGGTGAACCGGAGGGATCCTTCTTCCAGAGATCAGCAAGGCTGAGGGACTTTGTATCCTGCTTGTAGAAGGTCCATGTGTCATGGGGGAAGAGCCTGGCTGCCTCTCAGAATGTCCTGAACCCACTATGGCACAGCCTCACCTGAACCAGGCTGGGGATCTGAACCTTACTCTGTCCCCCACCCCACTCCTACAACCTCTCCTTTTGTGGTTTTGGTTTGGGTTTTTTGTGGGGTTTGTTTTTTTTTTTTTTTTGAGTCAGCGTCTTATTCTGTCGCCTGCCCCAGCTAGAGTGCAGTGGTGTCACCGTAGCTCACTGCAGCCTTGAACTCCCAGGCTCAAGTGATCTGCCTGCCTCAGCCGCCCAAGAAGCTGGGACTACAGGTGTCCACTACCAAGCCTGGCTAGTGTTTCCATTTTCAATAGAGTTGGGGTCTCGCTCTTGCTCAGGCTGGTCCTGAACTCCTAACCTCAAGCGATCCTCCTGCCTCAGCCTCCCAAAGTGCTAGGATTATAGGCATGAGCCACCATACCAGCTTTGGTTTGGTTTTTATACTTACATAGTTCTTTATTTTTCTCAAAGGGATTTTTCTTTTTTAATTTTATTTATGGATTGATTGAGACAGAGTCTTACTCTGTTGCCCGGGCTAGAGTGCCATGGCGTCAGCCTAGCTCACAGCAACCTCACACTCCTGGGCTCAAGCAATCCTCCTGCCTCAGCCTCTCGAATAGCTGGGACTACAGGCATGTGCCACCATACCCAGCTAATTTTTTAATTTTTTGTAGAGTCGGGGTCTCACTCAGGCTGGACTCCAACTCCTGGCCTCAAGAGATCCTCGGATTATAGGCGTGAGTGACCTCGCCTGGACGCAAAGGGATTTTTTTAAACCATTTTCTCATTGGGTGCCACAGGCTTTTATTTTAAAGGAATCACACAAATTTCTAATTCTTTTTCCCAAAAGACCTTCACAACCAATTTATCTGGATTAGCTGGACAACCCTGGGCAGGAGGTTCCACAGTCATGGCCCCATGACTCATTCTCTCCCCTTCACCTGTGTCACTTTTGTCTTTCCCATGATGTGCCTTAACTTTTCACTAAATCTTCTCTTCTGAAATCTTAAATGCTTCATCATTTCTGTATTCTCATAGCTTGTGTTCTAATTAATTAATCCTTGTCCAACCTTTAAGGGCAGTGGGATTTCTGTATGAGTCAAAATTTTCCGGGGCTCCATGAAGGACCGTTATGTAAATGAAGCAGCCCCAGACCCTTACAGCCTCCATGGATTTTGATACAAGACACAAAAGTCATCTTGGCGTCCAACATGCACTGACTTTGGGGGTAGGCTTTGCCACCACTTTCTCACGGGGTGCTCCCCACCCCACTGTGGGACAGGGGCTGTCTCTGTCCCCATCTTATAGATGAGGAAATAGATCTGAAAAGGGAGGCAACTCCCAAAGTACTAATACTGTCTTATCAATATTAACTTTTTGAAATGTAGCCTTTTCTGTTCTCTGATCTGTTCCTGAGTCTTTTTTTTTTTTTTTTTTTTTTTTGAGACGGGGTCTCACTATATCACCCAGGATAGTCTCGAACTCTTGGCCTCAAGTGATCCTCCCACCTCAGCCTCCCAAGTAGCTGGGATTACAGCTCAAGCTGCCACACCAGGCCAGTTCCTGAGACTCAGCTCTCCTTTCAGGAGCTGCCTGTTTAAGGGCAGGGACGGCATCTTCTCCCACCACTCCTGAAGCCCTGGCACAGGGCTGAGCACCCAGCCGACCCTCTGGAAGGGCTGGTTGGACTGATGTTGACAAAATTAGGTCATGTTTCTGAGTCCTAAACTCCCAGCGGACATCCCATTCATTTATTCCACAAATACATTTATTATGTGCTTACTATGTGCCAGGCACTGTTTTAGGCCTTAGGGATAAAACAGTGACTAAAACGAACATCCTTGTCATTGTGGACCTTACATTCCCTTAGGGGAGAAGACAAATGAGTGAAATATATGGTGTGTTAGATATAAGTGCTAAGAAGAAAAATGAAGCAGGGAGAGGGGATAGGAAATATCGGGAAAGGTTACAATTTTTAGACTAGGGAGGATCTCGCCAAGGAGGTGACATCTGTAAAGACCTGGAGGAGTTGAGGGCAGGGCTGTTCACCTCTCTCTAAAGGACTTCCGCCTGACCTCACAGTGGGTCTGCTGGTCCAGAATAGAGTTGTGAGGTCACTGACACAACAATCAGACATTGCCCTCCCCCCCAAGCCTGCATAATACACCCATTCATACGAAGGTATCAGCACTAGTCATGGAGAGCCCCTGGGTGCGGAAGCCAAGTTCTGAAAAGTCCCCTGAGGGGATGCCTCATCTCAGGAAGAAGCCCGCAGGATGGGAACCACCCCTCCTCCCTGCCTCTCTCCCCCACAGAGATTGAGTCTCACATTATAAAGCAAGAAGATATACTTAATGGCAAAGAGAATGAGATTAAGGAGTTGCAGCAAGTTATCAGCCAGCAGAAACAGATCTTCAGGTGAGGGCCCTGGGCCAGCTGGGGGTTGTTGGTGAAAGTGGGGAGCCAGACGTCTGGCCCCTGCCCTGGGCTGTCCACAGCCCACCCAGCGGGCTCCATTGCAGGAATCACATGTCTGACTGCCGGATCCAGAAGCAGCAGGAGAACTACATGGCCCAGGTGCTGGACCAGAAGCATAAGAAAGCCTCGGGGACGCGTCAGGCTTGCAGCCGCCCGCGTCTCAGGGAAAAATAAAATGGCTGTTCTCTGGCTGAAATGCCCAACCTCTGCCTTCTCTGCTCAGGGAATCCCCCAACCCTGCCCTTCCCATCTCTGGGGGTCCCTTTGCCACAGACCTGACCTCCAGGGAAAGAGGGCGCTTCTTTTTGCCCGCCCGCCTTCTAGGCCTTGGTGACCTGAGAGAGAATCAAGTCACCTGGGTGGCACACAGTCTTGCACCACCACCTGCTAGGCCACTTCTGGGGGCAGAAGGGGATGCTACTCAAGCCTGCAGCCCTTGTCACTTCCCTGCCTCCCTTGGGTCCATGGGAGTGGGGGTTTGTTGTCCAGTAGGCGCTGCTCCTTACTTTTGGTATTTAATCCCTTCTGATATAAACAGCCCTGGTTATCCCAGTAACATCCACCCCACTCCTAGTGCCCTTGTGATTTTAACTCTCAAGTTGGCTACAAGGCAGGAAGGGGTGTGTGTGTATGTGTGAGAGAGAACCCCTAACCATAAAGTTCCAGGACCCCAATGAATATGGGAAATCAGCTTTTATCACATAACAAGAATGTCAGAGCCATGATTCACATTTGTGCCTTCTTACACCTCCCCCAAACAGAAGGTCATCTGTCTTCACAAATGGGAGGAAGGGAAAAAGACACCACTGCTTCTTTTTGAGGTGAGGAAAGGGTCTGGGAAGGGACCACACTTGCTCAAGTTGCGCGGACAGGGCTGGATGTGATGGACAGGCTAGATTCTTTCAGGAGCCATCACCGAGTGTGCCCTAGGTGATCATGGGGACACATCCAGGGGGCAGGGGCCCCACTTCAGGGAAGGAAGAGTAGGATTTGCCAAGTCTAGCCTTTCCTGGGTAGCGTGAGGGTGACTGCACAGGATGGGCCAGTGCACTTGCTCCAGGGCCAGCTGGAGCCTGAGTCACAGCAGGACCTTGAAGCCAGAAGTTTAAGGGCAAGTGGTGCCCACTGTCCCCAGACAATGACAGGTGGTGGCTGCTCCTCCACCAGCACCTGTCCCAGGGCAGGTCTTAAGGTTCTGGGGGCTGGAATGAGGGCCTTGTGGGTTCCTGGGGGAGCACAGGGCTGTTCTTGCCTCAGGGGGCTTAGAGAGGGTACCACAAGCTACCTCAAAGGTTCCAGGGCTTGTCCTGGGTGCTAGGCGGCTTGTCACGGCTAGAGCTGTCCACTCCCGCCCCTTGCCATAGATCCCACTAAGGGCAGTGGGCCCGGCCAGGGACAGCACCTTCTTGAGGCCCCAGCACCACTTCTAGAGTCGGGGAAGTCTTCGAGCCTGCTTTCTCCTCACCTGCCTGTTGGCTTGGCTTGCGGGCTTGCGGGGGCAGGGCCCAAGGCCGGGGTCTCTCGGCCTGGCACGCCGCTGGCTCAGGAGTGGATGCGGCCGCTTTAAGGCGCGGTGATCCCACGGCATCCTCGGGCGGGGCGGGGACAGAGCAGGCGCCACCAGCGGAGGCGAAAGCGAGGGAGGTAGTGCGCGGTGTCCGGCCCCACCATGCTGACCGCGCTCACCCCGCCAGCCGTGCCTGGGATCCCGAGGCAGCTGCCCGCGGCCCCCGCGCGGCGCCAGGACTCCTCCGGTTCGTCCAGCTCCTACCACACGGCTCCGGGTTCTCCGGAGCCCCCGGACGTTGGGCCGGACGCGGAAGGCCGAGCGAACTGGCCCTGGGTGGCCCCTGGGCGGGGGGCGGGCGCGCAGCCTCGCCTGTCCGTCAGCGCCCAGAATAGCCGCCAGCGGCACTGGCCCGGCTCGGGTTTCCCGCGAGGCCCGGGCTCCGGCCCGCGGCCACCCCTGCCCCAGCTGCGCACGCTGCCGTCGGGGGAGATGGAAGTCATCTTCGGCGTCGGGACCCTGTTCAGCCGCTCCGCCGCGGAGGATCGCGAGGTGCAGCAGCTCACGGAGCAGGCCTTGGGCAGCCCCTTAGCGCCAGAGCCATCGTCTCCCGCCCCTGTCCCACTGCAGCCCCAGGCCCCCGACGGTGGCTCTCGCTGGGCCACATACCTGGAGCTGCGACCCGAGGGGCCGAGTCCTGCCTCCCCAACGCAGTTTGAGTGTGTGGAGGTGGCGCTGGAGGAACGCACGGCGCCCGCCAAGGCCCGGACGGTGCCCAAGCGTCAGATCGAGCTGCGCCCCCGGCCCCAGAGTCCCCAGCGCGTGGCTGTCGCACCGCGCCCCCGACTGCTCCTGCGCACCGGCTCTCTTGACGAGTCACTGAGTCGCCTGCAGGCCGCGGCGGGCTTCGTGCAGACAGCGCTGGCCAAAAAACTGAGCCCCGAGGCCCCAGCCCCTAGCAGCGCCGCCTTTGAGCCCACAGGACGGTCGGAACCCGCGACCCGGGAAACAGCCCGCAGCACTCGTGTGGTCTTGGAGAAGGCTAAGTCTCGGCCACTTCGTGTACACGACAGTTCGGCCACAGCAAAAGCCCCAAGGCCGTGGCCCAGCCTCCGAGAGCGCGCCATTCGGCGCGACAAGCCGGCTCCTGGGACCCAGCCGCTGGGTCCTGTTAGTTCCAGCATCTTCCTACAGTCGGAGGAGAGGATCCAGGAGGCGCGCAAGACTCGGTTCCCGCGAGAGACTCCGGATCGAACCGTCCCGAGGGCACGGAGTCCGCCTTTCGAGTCTGTAGTCCCCTGGGAGGTTCCAAGCAGGACTGTGAGGCCCAGAGGCCCGTCCCCGCCGTCGCAGACTCCAAATGGAGCCCTGCGAGGTCCTCGCTGCCCATCCCCCCAGGACCTGTCCCCGTGGGATCGGACCATTCGGAGGGGGAGTAGCCCGTCGTTCCCAGAAGCATCCTCCGCGTGGGAAAATCAGGATCCCGCCGTCGAAGAAACTGTTGGCAGGAGAAGCCCTTCGCCTCCCACCCTTTCCCGGTGGGACGAGGGTGTTGCTAGAGCAGAAAACCCGTCCCCCAACGCTCCTTCCCAGTGGGAGATTCCGCATCCCGCAGTGGGAGACGAGGAAGAGCCGGATAGGAGCCCGCCCCTGCCGACCTCGTTCACATGGGAAGCTCCAGACCGTCCCGTTGGGACTCGGAGCCCGTCACCCCGAGAGACGCGGGGTCCCGTGGTGCGCGGCTCCTCCGTGGTATTTACGCGGGAAGCTCAAAATGGCGAAGCTCAGGAGTTGGCGCCATCGACACCGTCAGCACCCGGGACTCCAGAACCTGCAGAGCTGCAGAGTCCATCCACACGGGGGATTCCGGATCTTGCCTTCCGAGGCAGTGAGCCGTCGCCGGAGGCGGCTGCCCCGGAGCCGCCCTGCAGTCACCTTGTGGGCACGTTGGACGCCGATGCTCGCCCAGAAGCCTTGGGCCGTGGAGAAGCGGCCTCGGGACGCCAGCGTGTGGCCGTTCCGCGGCCCAGAGACGTGCGCAAGATCGTGAAGACCACGTACGCGCCGAGCTTCGCGGCGGGCGCGGGGCTGCCTGCGCCTCCTGCTGACCCCTGCGGGGAGGAGGACCGCGCCTCCACGACGCGGGAGCTGCCGGCGCTGGGGCCCCCCGCGCCGGCTCACTACACTTCCATTTTTCTTAAGGACTTTCTGCCGGTCGTGCCGCACCCCTACGAGCCTCCAGAGCCACCCCTCGACACAGTCCCCCGGGACGCCTCGAAGCCTAACGGGGTCGTGCGGCGGAGAGCAGAGAACAGCACGGCAAAGCCCTTCGCGCGCACAGAGATCCGCCTGCCTGGCGCCCTGGCCTTGGGCCGCCGGCCCGAGGTAACCCCGGCCGCCCGAGTGCGCGCTCCTGGCGGAGAGGACCCGGGCGCAGAGCCGCGTCGCCTCGTCCCGGATGGCGAGGGTCGGACCAGCCCTCTAGGCGGCGCTCGCAACTCAGCCCAACGGCCCCCCGTAGAGCCAGCAGGGGCCCGACCAGCCCGCCCCAGCTCCCCACGGGCACACCCCGACTCGAGCCCTGAGGTAGTACCCACACTGGAGACACCCCCTGAGGCCCCCGAGCCCGCGGCTGCCGTCCAGGCGCCCCTGCCGCGGGAGCCCCAGGCGTCGGCCGGCAGGGTTGCCCCTGCCCAGCCTCGCGCTGCCTCGGCGCCTCCCACGGACCGGTCCCCGCAAGGCCCCCCCCAGGGCGAGCGCAGGCTGCCCGGGGCGGCGCACCCGGGGAAGGTCCTGGTGGACCCGGAGAGCGGCCGCTACTACTTTGTGGAGGTGCCGCGGCAGCCTCGGCTGCGGCTGCTCTTCGACCCCGAGAGCGGGCAGTACGTGGAGGTCCTGCTGCCGCCAGCGTCCCCCGGGCCACCCCGTCGCGTCTACACCCCATTGGCCCTGGGGCCCGGCCTCTACCCGCCCGCCTATGGGCCTATCCATGGCCTCTCACTGCCACCGTCCCCGGGCCCGCCGGCTCTCGGCAGCCCCCAGCTACCCTGGGCGTCTGAGGCGGGCGCCCTGGACGGGATGTACTACCTGCCGGTGAGCGGGACCCCCAGCCCCACACCTCCGCTGCTCCTCTGTGCCCCGCCCTCCAGCTCGGGTAGCACCCAGCCTGGCAAGGGCTCCTTGTTCCCGTTGTGAGGCCCCAGGGCCTGATCTCCATGGAGTTGGGGCCCTCGGATGGCCTTGGAGGTTCTGGCATCCAGTCTCTTGCCCTCCTTTCCTTCCGTCACCTCTTTCTTTGGCCTATCCCAGCCAGTTGTCAGACCAGAAGTGACCTTCAGAGAAAGTGTCTGAGAGCCGGGACTGATGGAGTTGGAGCTTAGGACGTGGCTGCCTCCTTCCACCCTCAACAAAATTGTACATCCCTTTCCCAGGCATTCCCAGGGTGTGGCGTGTGTGTTTACGTGTGTTTGTGTGTGTGCAGGCGAGCAAATACGGAAAAGCGTGGAGTCCCAGGGCTTAGCCCCAGGAGCCAATCCAAGGAGGTGTTGGGGTTCCCAGAAGGCAGCAGGAGTAGGAGCAGCAGGGGACAGGGCTGTCCCCAGAGGTAGTGAGCTATCTGTCTCTCCCTGATGGTGGGCCCAGCTGAGGTGGAGCTGGCACAGGTGAGATGGAAGGGAAGGACTGGCTATGCAGTCTGCTCTTTGCAAGAGGGGCTGACCTTTGGCCTGGGAGGCTGCAGGGGGTGGGCAGTGGGGAGGGGACAGCAAGTGCAGGTGGGGCAAGGAAGTAACACAGGGAGGGGCTGCGAGACAGCCTGGCATTTGGGGTGGGAAGACTGGGGGTAAGGTGGGCCCAGGTGCTGTGGTCTCCAGCTGGGAGCCTGGCTCCCCAAGGCTCCCCTGAGCCCCAGTCTCCCACGTGGCTTCTGCTGAGTCCCAGAGCTGAGCTGCCTCATCCTGGGGTGGGGGCAAGGCTTCAGCCACTCCCACCCAGGTAGGTGGCAGGTGAAATGAGTCCTCGGGAAGGACACACAAGAGGGAGGGTGGCTGGGCTGTTGTCCGAGGGTAGCCTTGCCTCCTTGGGTGGGTGGATGATGGGCTAGGCTGGCAGTAGAAGGGGTCCCCCTGTGTGTGGTGGGTCAGAGGGACCTGAAGCTCCCAGCTGGTCCCACTCCCCTTGGTCACAGCACAGGAAGGGACAGGACCCAGAGTCTGTGCTTCAGTTGCCCTGAGATTCCAGGAGCCCCTGAGGAAGGCTGAGGGAGATGAGGGGTCTGCAGGAGGTGGGAGGTGGTCTGCGTGGGGTCTGTGTGTCGTTCTGAGCCTGAAATGGCTGGGCCTTGCTGGACTGGTGTGTGGCGTGCCGAGTGTGGGGGAGGACAGTTCCCATTAGAAGCAGTGTCCAGGATGGAGATCAGCACTGTCCTTGTCCAGGACTATGCAGGCCAGGTTCCTCAGAGTCCCTGCCACCCTGCCCTGGACTGCAGGCTGCCTAGAACAATGAGACAGAATAACCTGGACATTTCTTAGCTGAAGACGCTGGTTCCGATGGCATGGAGGTTCCTAGGGTCACCCCAGGTGCCTCACCTCACCCTGGTGTGCAATAAATAAATCGCTGGCCCGTGGAGCCATGGTGGGTGAAATAACTGGTGTAAGTGCCTGATTTCCTGCCCTTCCAGGCCTCGGTAGGCCTGGGTATCGGGGACCTCAGGGCCAGGGAGGCAGACCACATGTGTCTTTCACATTCTGTGGGGTCCCCACCTCAGTGAGTTGCCTACCAAGAGGGAGCCCGAGGCCAGCAAGCACACCTGTGGCCTTATTCCTCCAGGTAGTGGAGTGGCCAGGGGGCTTCAGGGCCAATCAGGCTTGGGTTCCAATCTCAGCATGGCCCCTGTAGCTGTGTGGCCTTGGGTTTGTCACTTCCCTCTGAGCCTTTGTGTTTTCAGGGGCAGAATAAAGATGACAGTCACCACTTCCTCCCACAAGGTGCTCGGCACAGTGCCCGCCACTTGGCAGGCCACAGGACGTAGGAGGCATCAGCCCCCATGTGTCCTTGCCCAGCCCTGGCCCCTCTCCTCACCTCATTGTCCCCCCTCTGTGAAATGGAGCTGAGTGGGCTGGAGCTGGGTCCTGCAAGAGGAAGTGCACACGTGGCATCTCCAGGCCTGGGGGAGGGGAGAGAATGGGAGGGGTGAGGTGTGAGTTCCCCATTGGTCTAGGCCGCGCGTTCTGTGGCGGTCCCCACTGCACACACGCACACCTGCACCCCAGCCATAGCCCACACTCGCTGAGCTGGCTCTGGAGGCCATGCAGCTGTCACTGTCACTGCTGCTGCTGCTTCTGGGAGCCTGGACCATCCCAGGCAGTCTCGGGGACAGGGACCTGCTCACCGCCACTGCCCCAGAGCTGGACGATGAGGAGAAGTACTCAGCTCACATGCCTGCTCACCTGCGCTGTGACGCCTGCAGGGCTGTGGCTTACCAGGTGAGTCCTTCCCTGCCTTTCCCCTACTCTGCCTAGACCTCGTCTCAAGCCAGACCCCCCACCTACCTCACACTCCGCCTCTGGCCTTTGACCTCCAGCACTGGCATCAAGCCCCAGACTCAGCTTTCCATGACACTGCCATCCCCACCTCACCTGAACCTCCGTCTGCCTGCCTGTCACAGCAGACAGTCCGGCACAGACCCGCAGCACCTTGACACCCCAGGGAATCACCTGCCTGTCCTTTGAGACTGCTCCCTGTCCAGGCCCATCCTCAGGTCTGGCCTCCCTCCCCAGATCTGACTTGGGTGCCCTTGCATACGTGTACATGCTGCACACGTGCACACGTGTTGAGTGCCTGCGTGTTTGAGCATGCGTGTGAGTGCACACGTGCACCTGCTGAGCGTGTCTGTGCCAGTATTTCTACTTGTGCAGGGCTGTGAGTGCTCATGCCATTGACGATTAGGATCTTTTTTTTTCTCTTTCATTCTTCTTGTAAAATTGTAAAATAGCACGTGCTACTTGGCAGCTGTGCCCTGGAGTAGGAGCCCCAGCGCTCAGGCCCACCTCCACCTCAGCACTCTGCCCCACCCCCAGCCCCGGGAAGTGGCTCCTGCCTCGTTCTAGCTCTTGGGTTTCGGGGCGGGCTGTGCCGCCTGCCTCCCTCGCAGGTGCTTCCTGCTCGGCCGGCTCCCCTGCCGCCTCATTCCCCCAGAGCCTCCCTCCCGTCTGTCCCCTGTGAGCAGCGGTCCTGAGACGCTGGCCCCAGCCCCTCCTTGTTCCAGATGGGGCAATACCTGGCAAAGGCAGAGGCCCAGCTTCATGCTCCAGACTCTGAGGGGCGGCGGGAGCTGCGCGAGTCAGTATACACAGACGTCCTGGACTTGAGCTGCTCCCAGAAGTGGCAGGAGTGAGTTGCCAACCTTCACCTCCCTCCTCCCTGGGCAGGGCTGGCGGGTGGAGATGCCACTGTCCCACTCAGCACATACTCCACCGGGGCTCTAGGCCAAGGGAGGGGCTGGCTGGGACGAAGTCTGGGCTCGAGCTGGGAGCAAGTGGGAGAGCAGAGGGCCAGTGAACAAGGTCGGTGTGTGACCTTGGGCCAGGGGATTTCCGTCTCTGAACTCAGCAAATGCCCAGCGTGGAGTAGAGACAGGTCTCTGTGCTGGGCTCCCACCAATGCCAAACCCCTCTTCTCACCGCTGCCAGCTACGGGGTCCGAGAAGTGAACAAGGTGAAACAGCTCGTGGGCCCAGGGCTTAGCAAGGGACCAGAGCCGAGCATCAGCGTGATGGTCACAGGGGGCCCCTGGCCGGTCAGGTGATGGTGGGCGCGGAGTGGGGGTTGGGATGGAGCCCCGGTTTGCCCCTCTGTGTGCCAGGCAGGGTCTGAGGCTCCTGCTGGGCTCCCCTAGGCTCTCCACGACATGTCTGCACTACTTGGGGGAGTTTGGGGAAGACGGTATCTATGCAGCCCACCGACAAGGCCGGGAGGAGCTGGAGGCATTGCTGTGTGGGGGTCCACGGGGGGCCTGCTCGAAGGAAGTGCCAGCCACGCGGGAAGACCTCTAGGCCTGGACTCTGTCTTCCTCTGGATCATCCCCATTCCTGTCTGCAGGCTGCCAGCAGGCAGGGAGGTGTCACGTGGGCTGCCACCCTCCCTCTGGCTCTGGGCCTGGGCGGGAGCCAAGTTCGTCCCCTCTGGACTCAAATAAAACCCAGTGACCCCGACTCCTCTCTGCAAAAGGTGCTTTCCTGTTCCCTCACTCGCAGCAGCAGTCAGCACAGGAGACTTCTGTGAGCAAACGTGTGGAGCTTTTTCTCCAGGAACCAAGAAAGCAATCAGTTCTGCAGTGGACACTGGCTACGTGTCCTCCAGTTCCATTGTGACCCCATCCACTCAGAGATGGTGCCAGCTCCCACAGGCTGAGCTCAGTTCCCCGAGACTACCCTCATTCAGATGCCAGTCTCAGTCGGGGCCTCCAGAACTCCTGACGCTGGGTTTCCCGCGGCCCCTCTCCCCATCTCGGGCTCCATCAGTTTGCTGGAGCCGCTCACAGAACTCAGGGAAACACTTACATTCGCCAGTGTGTTGTAAAGGGCATTACCAAGCACACGGATGCAGAGGTGCACAGGGTGAGGTGTGGAGGAAGGGGCGCAGAGCTTCCTCGCCCCCCTGGGCATGCCACCCTCCAGGAACCTCCGCATGCTCTGCTCTCTGCAAGCCCTCTGAACCTTGTCCTTTTGGGGTTTTATGGAGGCTTCATTACGTAGGCATGATTGATTAAGCCATTGGCTATTGGTGATCAACTAAACCCTCAAACTCCTCTCCCCTTCCCAGAGGTTGGGGTTGGGCTAAAAGTCCCAACCCTCTAATCCTGCCCGGGTCTTTCCAGCGACCAACCACTGCCCTGAAGCTACCTAGGGGCTGCCAGGCATCATTAGCAAAGGAAAAAACATCATTTTTTTTTTTTTTTTGAGATAGAGTCTTGCTCTGTTGCTCCAGCTAGAGGGCAGTGACATCATCATAGCTCTCTGCAACCTCAAATTTCTGGGCTCAAGCAATCCTCCTGCCTCAGCTTTCCAAGTAACTGGTACTATAGGTGTGCACCACCATGCCTGGCTAATTTTTCTATTTTTTATAGAGATGGGGTCTCACCTTTGCTCAGGCTGGTCTCGAACTTCTAACCTCAAGCAATCCTCCCGCCTTGGCCTCCTAGAGTGTTAGGATTACAAGTGTGAGCCATTTTGGAGATTCTTAAGATTTCAGGAACTGTATGCCAGGAAACAGGGTCCAGTTGAAGACCAAATATACAATTTCAGTACATCACATCCCTCCTAGGAGGGCCTAAAACACATCCCTACAATTTCCTAGGGACAGGAGAGAGCTGTCATGGTTGGAAATGTGAGCAAGCTATCAAAGGCATATGGAACCACTTATATGCATGGTGACACCCCAGGTGCTCAAAGCCACCATGAGAGAAAAGAAAACTGAGGCAAACGCTGCAGGCAGGCCACCTTTCAGCACGTCTGCTCTGACCGCTCCATTCAATCTGTGCCCCTCCCAGAACCCACCTCTCACGCCCATGGCCGCTCACCTTCCACACTCTGCCTTTGTCTCCAGCTGCTGCGGGTGGGCCCCGGGTGCCTGCCTGGCACGGAGCAGGGCAGGTTCCTAACCAGCCAGATCCAGCATCTTGGCTCGCAGTCCTGCTCTCCCCAGAATTCTTCTGGCTGGAGGCCCTTTCCTTAGGAAAAGTGGGACCCTGGGCCCCACTTGGGTCTGGGAACCTGAGATCAGTGGCACCATGACTTTCAGTTTCTTTTGTGAGTGTCTCTGATCGGCTGAAGCCCTGGGAGGGAGACAGAGCGGACACTCTAATCTTCATTTGACAGACAGACACGGAAACTGAAGCTTAGGCAACAGAAGAGGCTCCAGCCGTCCCCGGCTGAGCAGTGGCAGGGCTGGGACGGGGTTCCGATTTTGGGGGTGGGCGAAGGCCGGCTGCGGGAGGAATGGAAGTGCCCCAGGCAGGCCCTGACCAGGCTTTCCGGGGAGCTGCACTGGAACCGGAGCCCCTCCATCTGTCACCTACTGCAGCACCTGCCTCAGGCCCTCCTTCCCTGGCCCCCTTTCAGGAGAGAACCCCTAGGCACCATGGGGACAGCCAGGCCAAGGAACCGGCTGAGCAGTCGAGCAGTCGGCAGTACCGGGTGTGGAGCTGGGCCCCTGTGTGACACGTGTTTCCGCGGAGCGATTTAGCGAGACTGCATCGGAGTCTGGGTGTGTGTGTGTGGGTCCATTGTGCTCGTGTGTATCTAGCACCGTGTACAATTCTCCACTTTGTCGCTACGTGCGTCATGTGGTTTGGGTTGAATTGAGTGTCCTTGGAGATGTGTCTGCAGGGGGTGGGGCTCTGGGTAGCAGCCCCCCTGGGGAGTACTGGGCGGAGAGGGTGGGGAGGAAAGCGTGAGGAGTGGCAGAGGCTTCAAACTGGTCAGACGACTTTGGGGACCTGGTCACAGGAGCCAAGAAAGAGAGGAGAGGACAGGTGGAAAGAACAGGCTGGAGGCTGGACAGTGGACGGATTCAGGGCTGTGGCATGAAGCTGCTGCCACGCTGGAGAACGGTGCTGCCCGTGGGCCCTCCAGCCTGGCCGTGGACATGGCAGTTCAGAAGTAGGTGGACCCCTAGGGTACTGGGGCTGGGGCAGCCCAGAGGCGAGCGGAGTGGGGACCTCAGGCCCAGCCTCCACCATCTGAGGAGCCTGAGTTCCTCTGCACCCCTCCACATCTCCCCTCCGCCATCCCTCAGGCACTAGGGCCAGCCTGGGCTGCCAGGAGGGGAAACAGGCTGGGCACAGGACTGACTTCCTGGGCTGTGCGACAAGAAGTCACACAGGACCCGGTGCTTAGAAAGGCCCCATGCTCAGTCTAAGTCTCTACTGTCGCTACCTTGAAATTCTGAATACTTTCAGAACAAGGGCCCCACATTCTCATTTTATGCTCGGTCCCACAAATTATGTAGCTGGTCCCACAAATTATGTAGGCTGGGAGGGGACACAGGACACTGGCCAGGCCAGGCCAACTTAGGCAGCTGTCAGCAGGGCCCATCTGTTGCCTGCTGCAGGGACCCAGGGCAGTTCCGACCAACCTGAATTTGAGGATTGCTTTTCTAAAACCTTGCTCCCTGGGTGGCTTTGCTCAAATCACATCGACTACATCTGTTTCCTCAGCTGTCAAAGGGGCTAATGCCACCCAGCGCCCGCGGTTACTTATGGCAATGTGTATATTACATATTGCTCGGCAACAAGAATGGTTATGATGATGATGATAATGATTAACTTGTTATTAATAAATGCAGAAGGGCCTCGTCCAGGGCATTACATAATAAGTGCCATTTCCACTCCCTTTCTTCCCACCTCGCCCAGGGCTTGGCAAACTTCCAAGGCTGTCTGTCCCCTCCTCACGCCCTCGACTCTGGTCCTCTCTTGGAAAACAAGGACAGGTCCCGTGCCCAGGCTCGGGTGCAGGCAGGGAAGGGCGCGCTCGGGAGGCAGAAGCGGCAGAGGCCCGGTGGCCTTTACCACTGTGGCCAAAGTTAATACGTTACCTCTGCCCGGGCCCCCCTTTCGCAACCCGGGGCAGGAGCCCTGGTTACAGATTTACCCCGAGCAGTGTCTGATATGTGGAGTAAAGTCCTCCCCGGCTTTTGTAAACTCATCCCCTCTTCTCCTCAGGAACTGCTCAAACCTGTGCCCCAAAGATGAGGGCCCAGGCGGACACCGAGGGCCGGACTCAGGTGCGGGGAATGGGTGGGACCTGGGGGGGCAGGGCCGGTGGGGGCTGGAGGGCCTGTGCCTCGGGGAGGCCAGAGACAAATGTTCTGATGAACTCGATAAGACAGCGATGTCCCCAGCTGAGTGTGGCAGCTGGGGGATGGGGGGTGGTGGGGGGGAAGGAGCCTTCAGCTTTGGGACAGGCTAATTCCAGCTTGGGAGCCAGTAGGACCCAAACTCTCTGCCAGGGACACCCCAGGGATCTCCAGGGGCAGCAGTGGGACTGGATCGGGCTTGTCTGCAGTCTCGAGCCCTCTCGTCCCCTCTCCTAGTGCTCTTAGGTATTCCGACTTACAGGTCCATTCCCCTGGCTAATGCCCAGGTCCTGAGGGCTCTAGAAGCCAACACAATGGGCTCATACCTCCAGGCAACAGTGTGAGGTGGGAGGCAGGTGTGTCCAAGCCAAGTGACAACTGGGTGGATGGGCTGTGGGGGAGGGTGGGGACCTGACTCTGAGTTGCTGACAGGCCACTCGGGCTACCTGATTGATTCTGGGCCAGAATGGATTTTGCCTGTTCCTATCACTCCACCCTGAGCTACTTTTCTCTGCTGCCTGCAGCATGAGTACACCAGGGACCCCCCACCGTCCCTGCCCATGGAGCCCAAGTTTGACATGCTGTACAAGATTGAGGACGTGCCACCTTGGTACCTGTGCATCCTGCTGGGCTTCCAGGTGGGCTCCCCCCAGGCTCTCCCTGCCCTCCCTCCGCACACTCCCCAGGGATCCCGGCCCCTCCCTGGCCGATGAGGTTATCTTGGGTAACAGGAAGGGAAACCGAAGGTCAGCACAGTGACTGTCATGAAGCAGGGGTGGGGAAGAGGCTCGATGGGGCCTAAGAGAGGATTAACCCCCTGGGAGTGTGTGACACCTGCCAGGTAGGGTGTTGGTGACAGGGAGAAGGGCCCACCACACAGAAGCCACAGGAATAACTTGGGAGGAGATTCCTGACTCCAGACTGGTGAGCGGTAGCTCTCTGGGAGTCCTTTGTGGGGAGTCAGTCCTGGGTGGGCACATTGCCAAGGGTGGCGTGGGTTCAGGCCCACTGAGGCTGGCATGAGGACTCCAGGGTGCCGCGGTTTCCCGTGAGCTCCGCTGGCCCGCCTCAGGCCCCGCACGCTCCACCCCCAGCACTACCTGACGTGCTTCAGCGGCACCATCGCCGTGCCCTTCCTCCTGGCCGAGGCGCTGTGCGTGGGCCGCGACCAGCACATGGTCAGTCAGCTCATCGGCACCATCTTCACGTGCGTGGGCATCACCACGCTCATCCAGACCACGCTGGGCATCCGGTGAGCACCCCTGCCCCCACTGTGATGCACATGGCCGGAGCAGGTGTCGCTCAGAGGACTCCGATGCCCCAAAAAGCGGCTGTCTGCTCCCGCCTGCTGCCCCTGCCCCCAGGCCAGCCTTAGAGCTAGGCAGTGAGGCTCCTGCCCTGGCACCTTGGCTGACGCGAGCCGTGCCCTGGTGCGCCTCAAGGACAAGGAGTCTGACGGTTTAAGGGGATGCCTAAGCCCCACTCTGAATACTCAGGACCACCTCCTTCCCTGCCCCAACGGCTGGCCCCGAGCTGGCTCCTCCCGCCTGTGTGGGCCTCTTCAGTGGCCCACCCTCCCAGGGGCCCCGCCCCCACGTGCACAGCCCTGGGCCCGGGTGGGAAAGCACCGAGTGGGGCGGGAGTGAGGGGAGGTTGTGAGTGGAGCTCAGACGCAAGAGCTGAGCCGCCTGGCCATGCATGTGGGCCGTCCTCACAGTGCGGGAGCTGGCCTTGCCAAGGGAAGGGGGGACTGTTTTGAGCTGGGGGCTCCATTTGTTTTCTTTCTTGGGCTCCTAAAATGTTGGAGACATTCCTGCCTGGGCCTTCAACAACTTCCCTCTGCCCTTACCCTTGTCCCTCTCTGTGCCCCTCTTCCCCCATCTTCCTGTGCCTATAACCCTACTCCCCATTCCTCCCATCCCACCCCAACTCATCCCTGCTGCTCTGTGCCTCTCTGCCAGGCTCCCGCTGTTCCAGGCCAGTGCCTTTGCATTTCTGGTTCCAGCCAAAGCCATCCTGGCCCTGGACAGATGGAAATGTCCCCCGGAAGGTGGGCACGTTTCTGGGGTCTGCCCTGGAGAAAAGGGGAGGCCCAGGGGCCTGGAGGTCTGGGCAACTGTCCCTGGTCCAGACACCAGGGTCAGTCATGGGAGCATCTTCTTTCCTTCTCCGTCTCTGTTCCCTGTGTGTGTGTTCCTGACTGTCCCCAGAGGAGATCTATGGGAACTGGAGTCTGCCCCTGAACACCTCTCATATCTGGCATCCACGGATACGGGAGGTGGGTTTGCATGGGAAGGTAGACGGGTCCTACAGAGGGGGTTGGATGGGAGGATCACTGCTGAGTTGGGGGATTCAAGGAGGGGACCGAGGAGCTTTTGTCCTGCTAACAGTCAGGTCATAGTGACTTACAGCTGATACTTGCCCTTCCAGGTTCAGGGTGCAATCATGGTGTCCAGCACGGTGGAAGTGGTGATCGGACTGATGGGGCTGCCTGGGGCCCTGCTCAGCTACATTGGGCCTCTCACGGTCACCCCCACTGTCTCCCTTATTGGCCTCTCTGTCTTCCAAGCTGCTGGCGACCGAGCTGGCTCCCACTGGGGCATCTCAGCTTGGTGAGCAGGCACCAGGCCTGATCCCTGCCCAGCCCCAGTCCCCCCCCTTCATGTCCTGCCCCCTTAGTCCTGGCTCCTGGCCCCAGCCTGGCCTACCGTCCACCTCCTCTTTGTGCCTCTGCCCCTAGCACCATTCTCCTGATCGTCCTCTTCTCCCAGTACCTGCGCAACCTCACCTTCCTGCTGCCTGTCTACCGCTGGGGCAAGGGCTTCACTCTCTTCCGCATCCAGATCTTCAAGATGTTTCCTGTGAGGAGCTGGCAGGCGGCTGGGGCTGGGACTAAGGCTGGGACTAGGCTAGAGGTTGGGCCTGTGCCCAGGGCCAAAGTAAGGACAAGGGCAGGAATAGCATTGGAGCTAGAGCCAGAGCAGAGATGAGGTCCCAGCCAAAGGCTGGAGCAGGTGCTGGGACTGGGCTCTGAGTCACTGTTGGGGGAAAGGCTGCGGCTGAGATTGTGGCTAGGGCTGAAGTTGGAACAGGTTAGCCTGGACTGAGACCTCCAGTGCCTTCAGTGTACCCCTCGCCCACCCTGCTTCAGATTGTGCTGGCCATCATGACCGTGTGGCTGCTCTGCTACATCCTGACCCTGACGGACGTGCTGCCCACAGACCCGAAGGCCTATGGCTTCCAGGCCCGAACTGATGCCCGTGGGGACATCATGGCTACTTCACCCTGGATCCGCATCCCTTACCCCTGTGAGCAACACCACTTGGGTCCCTTGGGCTCCGACTGACATTACCTGTGAGACAGGTTCCTGGTGACCCCAGTCCAGCTGATGTCAACTAGCATTAGCTGCACATTTATAGTGTGCCAAGCAGAGTGACGATTTACTCAGGCAAAACTTCCCTCCAGCTCCATGACCCTGAGTGGCCCAAATAAGCTCCCGCAACTGTACGGCTCCCTTCCCAGCTCCAGATGCCCAGCTTTCCCCTCTCGCCCTCAAGCACTGCCCAGTCCATTCCCGCCCACCACAGTCTCCCCCGGACCCAGGTCAGTGGGGCCTGCCCACCGTGACTGCTGCTGCTGTCCTGGGAATGTTCAGTGCCACACTGGCGGGCATCATCGAGTCCATCGGAGATTACTACGCGTGTGCCCGCCTGGCCGGTGCGCCACCCCCTCCAGTACATGCTATCAACAGGTACGCCCACCTGCCTTCCTCAATATCTGCTCCTTTCAGGGGCCACTCAGGAAGCAAATGTAGGAACGAGGTTGAGTCCTGGAGATGTAGACTTGGGCACGTCACTAACACTCCACAGACCTCAGTTTCCTTGCTTGTGCAATGGGGGTGCTCTCATCACTCTCTGTGATTTTTGGGAGTACTTGAGGGGATAATGCAGTCTAGAGGAACCAGTCAGCGACAACTTTCCATGCGCCCAGCTCTCACTGTGCATTCTCTTTGCAATCTGCTAACCACTCAGTGAGACAGGTACCATTATTTATCCCCATTTTACAGATGAGGAAATTGAAGTCCAGAATTGCCCAGAAGAGTAAGTGCCAGGGCACTGGGATTAGTGCTCAAACCTGGGCTCCTGGCTTCCAGATCTACCTTAGCCTGAGTGTGGGTACTAAAGACTGATAGCTGCAGCGCGCACAGGCCGAGAGGGCAGGCAGCCCGCCAGGGTGATGTGAGGACTCAGGCTGGTGCAGAGACTGGACCAAGCCCCCCACTCGCCCTTTCCTTACAGGGGCATCTTCACCGAAGGCGTCTGCTGCATTATCGCGGGGTTACTGGGCACAGGCAATGGATCCACCTCGTCCAGTCCTAACATTGGCGTCCTGGGGATTACCAAGGTGTCGCGACAGGCCAGAGGAGCACAAAGTCCCGCCCTCATTCCGTGTGCCCGCCCCAGACTTGCCCTCACTTTGGTCCCACGTCGTCTTTGATAGGCCTTCCCCCTGCGTCAAGAACCAGCCAGTTTATGCCTAGCTTTTATAACAGGCCCCGCCCCTGGAACTAACCCCGCCCCAGCCCCGCCCCCAGGTCTAGCTCCGCCTCTGGGTCCCTGGCAGGTGGGCAGCCGGCGCGTGGTGCAGTACGGTGCGGGCATCATGCTCATCCTGGGCACCATCGGCAAGTTCACGGCCCTCTTCGCTTCGCTCCCTGACCCCGTCCTGGGTGGCATGTTCTGCACCCTCTTCGGTGAGTGCCTGGCATGGGCCTGGGCGTGGGGCCCGGGCGTAGCGCTGGTGGCCAAGTAGTGGGACCCACCAGCTGCATGGCGTCTCCAGCGGTTCTCCTGTGCCCTTAGGCATGATTACTGCTGTGGGGCTGTCCAACCTGCAGTTCGTGGACATGAACTCCTCCCGTAACCTCTTCGTGCTCGGATTTTCCATGTTCTTCGGCCTTACGCTGCCCAATTACCTGGAGTCCAACCCTGGCGCCATCAACACAGGTGCTTCCCGCTGTCTGTCTACTGTCTGCAAGGTTGGGGTGGGCCCAAAACTTCGAGCACACCCCTTCCCTCAACACTCCACGCCACAAATCCTACTCAACTCCAGATGTTAATCAAGAGCTGAGAGGCTAATTAGCATTTGTCTTTTACTAAGACACTTTCTGTGGACAGATATTGAGCTTCACCTGTGCTCATTTAATTTCCTAAGCAGGCTGGGCACCCGGTGGCTCATGCCTATAATCCTAGCACTCTGGGAGGCTGAGGCCAGAGGATCGCTTGAGCTCAGGAGTTCGAGACCAGCCTGAGCAAGAGTGAGACCCCATCTCTACTTAAAAAAATAGAAAGAAATTAGCTGGACAACTAATATATATATAGAAAAAATTAGCAGGGCATGGTGGCGCATGCCCGTAGTCCAAGCTTTTCGGGAGGCTGAGGCAGGAGGATTGCTTGAGCCCAGGAGTTTGAAGGTGCTGTGAGCTAGGCTGATGCCATGGCACTCTAGCCCGGGCAACAGGGCTTTGTCTCAAACAAATAAACAAAACTTTTGGAGCAGCTCCATGAGACAGATATTATCATCTCCATTTTATAAGTGAGGAACATGAGGCTCCATCCGAGAGATTAAGTGATTTTCCCCAATTCAACAACTAGCAACTATTAATAGCAGAACTGGGATTTGAACCCATATATATAGGAAAAACAGGTACGGACAGGTTTAAAAGTCAGAGGTTTGTACCTGTCCTTGTCATGACTGCTCAAGGACGTCAGTAGGCTGCACAAGTGGGAAGTCCCTGAGATCTGCAATCCAGATGACACCCATTGGCCCTTGGCCTCTTCCACAGGCGTTCCTGAAGTGGATCAGATTCTGACCGTGCTGCTGACCACGGAGATGTTTGTGGGCGGGTGCCTTGCTTTTATACTCGACAACACAGTGCCAGGTACGGTTGGGACCTGTGGGGGGGAATGCAGAACTAGGCTGGACTCATATGCACTCCAACAAATGGTCCCTGAGCCAGAGCTGTGACCAGGTCCAATGCCATGCAGGCCCTACAGGGAGCGTCAGGAACAGATGGGCTGGTGGAGTGCCTGCCGGCTGGAAGGAGAAATCAAGGCACAGACATGTCTTATAGGTCTCGAGGTCTAGAAGACGGTGGGGGTAGGAGAGTCATTTCTGGGTTCTGTGAGTCCTTTCCTCTCCCTTTCTTGACAGCCACTGGGCCAAAGTGTATCTGCTTTCTTAGAGTAGGACAGATGGAAATGCAGCATCAGTTTGTTGGCAAAATCCACTCCAAATGCCAGCAGCCTGCCACTGATGGCTGCTAGCAGAGCCCCTAACATTTCCCTTTGGTACAGTGCTTTTTGCAAGGATTATAGAGGGTACTTTGTGGGGACCCTGAGAATCCTACTAGCCCAATACATACATAAAAACATACAGGGTGCCCAGTAAATATATTAAAAAATAAATGTCACCAGGTGCTCTAATAATAAACATAGTTAACATTTACTGAATACCTACTATAGGTAAAGTAGAGCTAAGTGTCTCCCTTCATCCTCAAAAACTATGACCATAAAGTCAGAGTCACAAAATTAAAACACTGCAAATCTGGGATTTTTAATAATCTCCACCTGATGCAGCCAATGGCCTATGTCCCAGTCACTGCACTACACTCTGCTGTCAGGGGACCTGGGCTGGAGAACTGCGAAAGGTTCTATGGAGACAGGGGTTAATGACTGCATCAGTACAGGCACGTGAAGGATTGGAGTAGCAAGATGATGGCCCTCCATATCCACTGACCACCCTGAACATAGCCACACGTCCTGCCAGCCTCTCTCTGATGATCCAAGTGTTCGTATTCATAGAGCACAGGAGTCAGAGGCTGTCTGTGCACAGCTGGTGGGTTTGAGGGAGCAGGAAAGAGCCAGAGTTTCCCAGGATTTTAGACAGAAAACAGATGAGGGAGCTCTTCATAGCAGCTGTCCCTTGAATAGATGGGTATCTGACCATAGTACTCACCCCTCCCCATTTAGAGGAGCTAGGGTGGGGGCTGGAGCAGCCTGTCCTGTGGTCCTGGGACAGTGGTGTCAGCCTTAAGGCCTAGGGAACGTCGGGAGAGGGAGAGCATCTGAGTGGGCATCTGAACATCGAGAGGATTGTGATTTGGTTAGCTAAGCTACCCAGATGTAGTTAACAGCCTCAGAACTGCCTGAGTCCCTCACACCCTCATCTTTCAACCCAAGTGAACATCAGCAACCATCCCCATCAGGGATCATTAATTGTGTTATGCCATGTACTCTTCAACACTCCTTCAATATGCACGGATGAGGAACACAAAGCGGAGAGTGGTTATCACTTGGCTAGGGTCACACAACCTGGATTCAAACCCAGGTCTGGCTGGCTCAGAACCCAGTCCTTTTTTTTTTGAGACAGTCTCACTTTGTTGCCCAGGCTAGAGTGAGTGCCATGGCGTCAGCCTAGCTCACAGCAACCTCAAACTCCTGGGCTCAAGCAATCCTACTGCCTCAGCCTCCTGAGTAGCTGGGACTACAGGCATGCGCCACCATGCCCGGCTAATTTTTTCTATATATATATTAGTTGGCCAATTAATTTCTTTCTATTTATAGTAGAGATGGGGTCTCACTCTTGCTCAGGCTGGTTTTGAACTTCTCACCTCGAGCTATTTGCCTGCCTTGGCCTCCCAGAGTGCTAGAATTATAGGCATGAGCCACTGCGCCCGGCCAGAACCCAGTCCTTAACCATGGAACAAAAGCCTTTTCCAGCCTTTAACTTGCTGGAAAACTTTGTATTTGCTTTGTCTTTACCTATGCACAGCCCAACCTTAGAGGGCAGTCAATTTAGTTTAGCAAATGCTGGTGGAACTTACCAGTTTGGCCCTGAATTAAGACACTGAGATGTGCAAAAAATGTGTAAGTCAGTTTGTTTTCAGGAGCTCCTTGCACAAAATAGGAAGTAAAATTGGGCTTAAATAAGCAATGAAGTCAATGAGGGTGGGTTGGAGTCTCCTGGAGGGCTTCCTGGATGAGGGAGACTGGATGGAGCCTAGAAGAAAGGAGGGGATTTGGAGCAGCAGAGAAGGCACTGCGCGTAGGCATGTAGAAGGTAGGCTGACCAGCCTGTGAGAGGGCAGGAGGGTGATCAGACACCAGGACCATAGTCCTATGCCACACTTATGGCTCTTCCCTCTCCAAAGCTCTACACAGCTTTCACACAGCCAGGACTACTTAAACAGTACCTTCTCCAGGTAGCCTTTCCTGAGGACCTTCGCCTTTCCTCAGTGTCCTCTCTTCTGAGACTTTGGGATGCACTTGATTTGCACTACTCATGGGGTTGTTCTCAGCCTAGGCTGCCAGCAAGTGGAAATCTCATTCCTTCTGACAGACTTATAATGTTTCAATCCCAACCCCAGCACTCTTGTGAAAACCAGAGAGCTCATGTGCCCCTCTCCCACCTAAGGAAGAATTCCCCTAGTTGTAAAAAGTCTTTGGTGTATCCCTATACCCATCAAAGATTTTACCTAGCTTTTCATTGTGAGGTCTGTATTATAAAAACAAGAGTCTATTTTCCAAATGTAAGAATCATAATACCAAATATTAGTACTAACTTATAGTGTTTCAAAATATAGCCTCCTATCCTGAGAACACAATCTGGGAGCAATTTGGTCCCATTGGCCCAGTGCACATTAGCCCTATACTCAACAGGTATAGGTTGGTAATTAACCTTTCTGACTCTTCATCTTAAAATTTTGTGGTCCCAGGGGAATGTTTTGAAGAAACAAGATAATGAAATTCAAGCACTTAACAGAGCCTGGCACACTGTAGTTACAAAATAAATACTAATAATTATAACTGGTATCCTTTAGAGTTCCTAGAGCTCTGGCCAAGTTGGAAGCTCAGAAACCATGGATTAAACAACTCTTAGGACCAGACAATATTTAAGACGGACACTTGATTCCAGAAGTCTGCATTAGAATTGCATTATGGAAAAGGGAGGTGGCAGAGGGTTGCAGACTCTGGTAAATGCGGACTCTGGTAAACGCACAATCTTTTGAGCGACAGATCGCTCAACACTGTTCTCTTCCAGGGAGCCCAGAGGAACGAGGTCTGATACAGTGGAAAGCTGGGGCCCATGCCAACAGTGAGACGTCTACCAGTCTCAAGAGCTATGACTTCCCCTTTGGGATGGGCATGGTAAAAAGGATTGGCTTTCTGAAATACATTCCTATCTGCCCAGTCTTCAAAGGATTTTCTTCAAGGTCTAAAGATCAGTTTCCAGTTCCAGAAGACACTCCAGAAAATATAGAAACTGTGTCTACGTACACCAAGGTCTGAAAAATTACTTCCAGGAAAGGTAGGATGTGTCTATGGCTTTTGTGGGAGGGCTGAATAATCAAAACACTCTTCTGCTTTAACCAAACTACTCAGTTTCCATTTCTGTGACCTGTTTGAAGGTCTTTAAGGGGAAAGTGGACTGGGTAAAAAGTCAATATATAGATTTTGGGTGGAATTCCTTCGACATTTTATAATAAGAAAATAACTTCCCAACTGATGCAGACCACTAAGAGGTTGCAAGTATGCTGAAATATCGATCCCTTCTGCCTTTCAGATACCTGGGCAGAATCTGGGCCAACTGGAGTTCACAAGCTAGTAACTCCATCCATGTGCAGCCTCATTATTATACTCTAATATGTTAAACAAATATCAGTTTGATATTTGACATGGAAAAGATTGAGAAATACTGACATAGCACAAAAACAGGAAAAAGCCTCTCATACACACTGCCTTGTTTCAATAGTGGTCATAAAATTAAAACCCTATAAAACAGGATGACTTCAATTACCCTAAACCTATGCCTGCACAGACCCTGATGAAGTGGTCATTTGTCCCTAAAGCTTCATTATGTGTGTGCAGCTGATGCTCTGAAACCTTCCATCTCTACCTGTAGATGCCCGGCTCTCTAGTTAAACACTAAAGTGGTTTCAATGTGCATGTTCCCTCAGACATACAAGAAGAGTTTCAAAAAAGAGAGGTTAGTTTAGATGATTCCTTAATAGTAAAAATAAAAGCAACTTAAATAGGACTTTCTATGTGCTAGGGACTCTCTTAAGTTCATAATGTATGTTAACTAATCATACAACCCAGAGACAGATATTGTCATTATTGTCATTTTAAAGATGTGGAAACTAAGGCACAGAAAGGTTAAGTGACTTGTCCATATCACAGGATTCACATCCAGGAAGCCTGTCTCAAGTCTTTGCTCTCATGATTAGGTAACAGTGCCTAATTCAAGTTTATAATCGCCAATTAACTGTATTATAATTGGGCAGTACATAGAAATGAACTCATCTGCCCCTGTCTGAGCTCAGAGAACAAGGATTTGTAAGCCTCATATAGATGACAGCTTGCTGTGCCACTTGTGGTACTGAGCTGCTGAAGAACAGAGGAGACTGGTTGTTTCACGGCTCTAAAAAGAACAAGAGTCAAGTATGACTGTCTCTGCCTCAGAGCTTCTTTAAAAACCCATCTATTTATTAGTTTGTTAAGTGGATATTAAAAAACACTGGGGCACAGGTGCTCACACCAAAGGACACCATCCCCCACCTCCAGAAGAATGTGACCCAGAATTGACTACATGACCTTTTAGTCTTCTTCAACACAACACTCAAGAAAAGCTCTTGTCAAGGGCAGAAACCAATGGAGTTATACTAGAGTAAGGTCCCCATCATACTGCAGCCATAATATTTCTTACATGGCTCTCTCTGATTGAGCTGACATTGCAGCCTGCAGTAATAAAAAGCAAGGATGGGCAATGAAGTTTATTTTACTGCTGTATTTTGGACAGATTCTTGCACAGCAATATACTTGCTACTATAGAATCTAACAGAGCCTGATCTCTTAGCACATCTTTTTTTTTTTTTTTTGAGACAGAATCTCATTTTGTTCCCGGGGCTAGAGTGTCATGGCATCAGCCTAGCTCACAGCAACTTCAAACTCCTGGGCTCAAGCAACCCTCCTGCCTTAGCCTCCCGAGTAGCTGGGACTACAGGCATGCGCCACCATGCCTGGCTAATTTTTTCTATATATTTTCAGTTGGTCAATTAATTTCTATTTTTAGTAGAGACGGAGTCTTGCTCTTGCTCAGGCTGGTTTCGAACTTCTGACCTTGAGCAATCCACCTGCCTCGGCCTCCCATAGTGCTAGGATTACAGGCGTGAGCCACCGCGCCCGGCCCTCTTAGCACATCTTGCCAGCAAGGCTGTCCTGAGGTACTGGGCCCACACAAAAGTATCATCACTGAAGAGTCTGCACTCCAGTACCAATAAACACAACCATCAACTCAGTTCTACTATTATTTATTTTTTTAAATATTTTTGAAAAAATATAATTTTTTTACAATATTTTCAACTTAAACACTATTCACACTGAACACGTATGGCAGCTTAACCTACCCAAATATGAAGTTTAAGAAGCCAAAACTCTTCTAGCTTTGTTAAAAAAAAAGTTGTGCTGCAGACTATTGTTGTGATGGTTAACAAAGCAAGGAAAAGCACCACTCAAATGATAATGTTACAATGCCTTTGTTCAATTAGATTATGGGCTGGTGTTGGTCATATGCCTGTGGATAGCACTGGCATAGCTATGATACAGTGAATCCTTAGAAGATGCAATTCTCAAATCACCTACTTCCACAGATGTAACACATGAGCAGAATTCAGTATTTCTAACATGATAACATACCAGAAAAACTAGGACTAGCTCTCATCTGATCACACTACCTTTTAATCTCAGTTATCAAAGACATACTTGTCATCTATAACAAATTACCTCAAATTAACTAATAGACCTTCTTCAGAAAAAGGAAATCCTTTTTGATGGGGACAAATGCAAATTTGGGTCTGAATTGAGAAATCTGTCTAACAATTAGAACTTAATTTAAATTTACTTATTAACAAGTGTGAGTTAACCCTAAGGGACTAGTTTAGCCTCAAAGAAGACAATTTAATAAGATTTAGAGGTCATTTAATTTGGTGCTTTTTCACAACTTGACTGGTGCTTCTTTCCTCGCTGTCTTTACATCAAGCCATGGGCCAATTCTATTTTCAGTAAACGTTTGACAGCTTTTTACTTAATAACAGTCTCAGCACTTTTATTAAGCATGCAAGACTAACAAAAACTTTGGCAATGCATAAGTGTAACACAGTGACAAGAGAGAGCTTTTACAATTAAGTCTTCTAATACTGCCTTCACAGTGTGGAAATTGTGCTACATCCACCAAAAGAGGGCCCCATCTACTCAAATATTTTAGTACTTCACCCCAGGAACAAACTCCTTTGCATTTGGATTCAGATTGCTCTTCACCTGTAAAATAAGTACATAAAAAAGCAAGTTCATTAACAGATGGCTTCAGATACTCAGAAGAGTTCAACCTAGATCCTCATGCAAAAATATCTTCCCAAAAATACAAAGCAAAAGAACTCAGTTGTAAAATTACCCTTAACCCCCAAAAATCTATAGTAGAAAAAGGAAGAACCAGACATAAACTATATATACCCTTATCAAATTACATCAAATCTCTAAAGAAAAAGTAAGAATTAAGTTTGCTTAAGTGTAACCAGAAACCCAGTTCCCATAAATTAAAGGAATAGCACACCATTAACCATGAAATTCTGTTATTCTGTGACACCTGACTTTCTTTAAACATTCTCACTCCATGCAAACTTGTTAAACAAGTATTGAAATTATGGTTAAAGTAACTGGGGAATTGTTCTTGCTCTGTTGCCCAGGCTAGAGTGCCGTGGCGTCAGCCTAGCTCACAGCAACCTCAAACTCCTAGGTTCAAGCAATCCTCCTGCCTCAGCCTCCCAGGTAGCTTGGACTATAGGCATGCACCTCCATGCCTGGCTAATGTTTTTCCTATATATTTTTAGTTGTCTAGCTAATTTCTATTTTTAGTAGAGATGGGGGGGGGGTCTTGCTCTTGCTCAGGCTAGTCTCGAACTCCTGACCTCGAGTGATCCTCCCACCTCGGCCTCCCAGAGTGCTAGGATTACAGGGGTGAGCCACCAGGCCCAGCCTTTTCTATATATTTTTAGTTGTCCAGCTAATTTCTATTTTTAGTAGAGACAGGGTCTCACTCTTGCTCAGGCTGGGAAACTGGGGAATTGTTGATGGATTAATTTTACTTTATGATCCTCACTGAAAACATGGAGTTAATCTTTCTACAACTGCTGTCTTCTAATTCCCACAGGAAGCAAGGTTTATAACAGGAAAAGAAAACTACATGGGGAGCCCGAAGACCTAAGTCTGAAATGTCAACTCTGCCCCTAACTTCCTATGTAAACTTGGATGAGCCACCCTCTCTGGGATTCCATTTTTGCATCAGTTAAAAAAAAGAGAGGATTGAGCCAATGTCTCTAACAGCTTTAGAGACTTGTACCATATTATTCTATGTCTTTAAATCTTTACTTCCCTAAGTGCACTTGTCAGCATATAGGAAGAATAGCTGGAAATTTTCCTCTATCACATTTTGGATTGCAATTTGATAAAGACAAAAATAAATCAGGACAGATTCCAGGGCCCGAAATGTAAGCATGTTGGCAGGCATTTACATTGAATTTGACCTCTACATCACCTACTTCAAGACCTATGCATAATATTAAACAACATATTGGAGCAATAATTTTAGTTTCATAATTTATACACAGCAATTTCCTTAGACAGGATATATTTTCCCTTTCCCCAAGGGAAATATATCTACACTTTAAAAGTGTTAAGTTTAAAAAAATAAAAAAGGTAGTGTTCTTAAACACACAATCTTTTGGCAGCTACAGAAGAATAAAACAGGCTGGGTGCCTGAATGAATCAGGCATGTAAACAGGCATGAGCCTGTAATCCTAGCTCTCTGGGAGGCCGAGGTGGGCAGATGGCTCAAGGTCAGGAGTTCGAAACCAGCCTGAACAAGAGCAAGACCGAAAAAATAGAAACAAATTAATTGGCCAACTAAAAATATATAAAGAAAAAATTAGCCAGGCGTGGTAGCGCATGCCTGTAGTCCCAGCTACTCGTGAGGGAGAAGGATCGCTTGAGGGAGAAGGATCTAGCCCCGGCAACAGAGTGAGACTTTGTCTCAAAAAAAAGAAGAATGAAACAAAGTAATCTCAAACAGACTGAGTACAACAAATCAGAATCTGTACCAGATTAAAGTTCTAAATTATCCCCAGCAAATGTCTTTACTCATCGGGGTAACCAGGATTATTTGTGGTGTGATTCATATAGCTAAAAGCAAGCATATATCCTTCCTGTTCACCATGTCTGAAATAAAGAAAAAGAAAAAAAAAAAGGCAAGCATAACCCCACAGACTATTCAGATCATACATATGCTCAGTTGGGTTACCATCATTCACTGCACTGCAACAAAGGTTACACCACAATGTAAACTTCAGTGCTCTCTACACTGTTCTTTAGAAGAATGCTTTCCAAATGTCTGACTCTCGCAGGCTGGCTGTGTAATAAGGCCTCTGGAAAAGAAAACTACATGGGGAGACAGACGATCTAAGCCTGAAATGCCAACTCTGCCCCTATGTAAACCTGGATAAGCCACCCTTCTCTGGGATTCCATTTTTGCATCAGTTGAGAGAGAGAGAGAGAGAGAGAGAGAGAGAGAGAGAGATAGGCCAAAGTCTCTAACAGCCTTAGAGACTTGTACCAGTATTATTCAAATAGCTGAAAATCTTCCCCTACCCCATTTTAGATAAATGTGCCTAGAAAGTTGATTCTCCAGATCTGGGATGCAGCTGAGAAACAGAGACTTGTTTTTAATGCTTCATAGGTAATATGATGTACAGATTAGGAAACCACTGCACAGTTACCAGAATACAATTACAAAAATACTTTAGAGTTCAGTGGGTAAATTCCAGATATCTTTATTTTGAGACAGGGTCTTACTCTGTCACCCCGGCTGGAGTGCAGTGGGGTCATCATAGCTCACTGCAACCTCAAATTTCAGGGTTCAAGTGATCTTCCTGCCTCAGTCTCCTGAGTAGCTGGCATTACAGGTGCACAAAACTATACCCAGCTTATATTTTTATTTTTTGTATAGATGTGGGTCTCACTATTAATCAGGCTGGTCTCTAACTCCTGACCTCAAATCCTTGGCCTCCTAGAATGCTAGGATTACAGCAGTGAGCC